AAAAAAAAAAAAAAAAGAAGTCTCGTTTAAGCCTCGAGAAAGGTGTAATTTTGATCGGTGTTGCAACTTTGTGCCATCGCCGACATCGATGATACATCAATGTAGGTATTGGGAACGTGAAGTAATGGCGAAACGAATCTCGTGAGAAGCTTAACTGTAACTTTCACGAAAATTTTATCTTCTCTTCGTATTAATCGTTAATATAATTGTATCGCGTATTAAATTTTTGTTTTTTTATAATTTCAATAAAACAAGAGGCCAATTAATAGATTGAATTATTTAATACATCTTGTCGTATATTTCAATTCGTCGTCAATCTGTTGTAAAAAGAATGCTGTATCGACGATCATCAAGAGATAATCGATAGATAATCCCTCTTCCAATTACGGATTATCCCCTTTGAAGTGCAAAATGATCGATGAATCGTATCCTCGACAATCGTCCATTCCGAGCAAATTCCCTTCTCTGATCTTTCTGTCGAATAGATTATAGAAACCTTAACTAAAACCTTAACATGCTAAAAAAAAAGCGAAAAAAAAAGGAGAATTATCGAAAGTGCGATATAATGGCACGTACCAGTTTGGAAAAACGTGGCACCACCGTCGATGTTTCCAATCGATTACTCGACACAGTAGCTACCGGTTTCTATCCACGAGCGAGTGGAGAAAAAGAAGAGGAAGACGAAGAAGAAGAAGAAGAAGAAAAAAGAATCGGAGCTTCCTTATTGGTCTTAGAAAGTCGAGTAAGAAAGATCCGTGAAAAGAGCGTCGTGAAATCTGCAGAGGCCGGCCGCGATCCGTGTATAATCGGCAGAGGAAACCGGGTAGGAAAAAGGAGCAGCGGGACGGTGAAAATGCCCGCCTTTTGAAACGTTGAAACCCCGGGTTCGTGACTGCGACCAAGTATCATCTCGCACGGTGATTATCGTTTCGAACGTTCGATTGACGTGGCCGGTTTCACGTGGTACGGGCCCAACGTTTAAAAAAACTGGCCGTCACGCCAGTGAAGGAAAGTTGAAAAGGGTTCGAGGGATCGAGGGGGGAATCCAAGTTCGATCGAGCGAGTGGTTACATCATCGCTGTGAATTCTGATCGATGTACGGGAGTTTGGTTGTTTGGGAGGAAAGTAGGCACTTTGAGGATAAAGAGTAATCGAAGAGAAATTTTCTTTCGAACTCTCTGTTATTTTTTTTTGTATTTGTTTCGTTAAAGGAATAATGGGATTTAGAGAATTTTTTTTTTTATTCCGAGGGAAAGTATTACAAATTTGTGATTTCGTTTCGATATCGTTCGATCGGATCGTGGCATTCGAGGAGTTATTAAGTATGCAGGAGGATAATAAAAGTTTTATTCGAGAAAAAAAATTATTCCCGCGTGTTCGAGTTTCCAGATGTATAATTAGTCCCATGCTTATCAGAAACAACATCCAGTTCGATCGTAACATTGGAAAGAACATCGAATCGCTCGATAACCTAAATAACGCAATTAATGAGACCAATCACACATCCTTGGCTACCAATCAGTCGTATCAACCGAACAAGATATCCAATAAAGAAAAATTTCTTTACAACCTGTAATAACCCGTTGATCGAGTCGAAAAATCCAAATTTCCACCACAATTATAGATTTTTCCTGAATTATAAATAATCTTAAATAGCAATTTATAATAAAAAAGAAATCGAAGGTAGGAAAAATTCAAGTTAAATATATTATCAGCATAGATATAGCTATAAACTGAAAGAAAAATAAAAACTGTTAGAAATCAAGAGATTTCTCTTTCGTAAATTTTAATAATATTATTAAAATATCAAATAAATTTATATAAAACATAAATTTCATTTTTTCCTCGATTTGCAGAAATTTTTAATTATACTCCCCCTATACTCAAACATTTTCACGATTCCCTCACGAATCAAAATCTTCGATATAATCGCGAAAATCGATCAAACGAAACGAATTCTCATTTCTAACAACACTTCTCTTTCCCTCTTTCCCAATCGAATTTCGATCGTAAAAATTAACCGATCGATGAAATTACAGCATTTTCATCTCTAGCTAGATCGCTTCCCTCTTTCCCTAGAAGAACAATCAAAATGTTCCCTCCTATCACCAATTATCCTTTCCGCTGTCTCCACGCAGAAATCGACTCGGTTTCGTATTTTACGAGGCGAAAATTGCTGGGTTATTCCCCTGGTAGTGGCGCGTTTTACGATTTCGGCGGAACAGCCGAGAGAGAAACCGGCGATTTCCGGTCTTCGAAATGTCGAAGCGACAAAGTTGCAACTATAGGATGGTTTTATTCGTTTCCACCTTCCGCCGCGGTCACGCGGTTTTTACTGTCCTCGGTATATACGACGCGCTAAATTATCCCGTTTGCAATAAAACGCGTGGCGGGACGCGAATACGCCACGGTGAACAAATAAACGTGAAATTACGGTGAAACCTGGCTCTCTGTTGCGCGGATATCTGTCCTTCTCGATCGTTCGACACGGTTATAGCGGGGCTCTCCGAGAGACCCGTCGAAAACGAACGGTAAAAACGGTTGGATGTTTAGCCGGTTGAATGTTTCCTGGTAGTTTGCCAGATCGATTAAAAAGAGGAGATCGTTGTTTGATTCGATGTTTTGCGTGTAAGGGGAAAACCGGTCGACCGGGTTGGAGGATGCGGCTTATTATAATATTTACCCGCTTTGTTGCTTTGCGGTTATAATATTTGCCGTTTCGATACATTCTTCGACACGTCGATCATCTTTCGTCCCTTTAAAACGTCTTCGATCGCGTTGTGTTGCGTCTAATTTAACTTCCGCCACCGCCATTTTTGTGCCGGATAACTTGGCACCGTTAACGTAACAGTTATTTTTGCAATCGTATTTTTTGAGATTATTGAAGCAACGATGATCGAAAAATTTATATCGTATTATCAGATTTTATTATCATCATCTAAATTATATTAATTGTAAATTAATCTAAAGGTGAAAGTGAACTCTGATTAAATTAATTTAAGTCAAAGGTATCTTAAATGTGCCTACCTAACCTTTGAACACATGGCTCTGAATAGCGAGGAATTGGAGCAATTTATTATTTAAGACTATTGAAGTCGTCCATTGAAACTCTAATTGAGACATCCAATGACATCTCCTCCGATATATCGCCACATTTGAATTTACATACGATCAATGACCGATCAACGAGGACGTTTTAATTGCTTCATATCGATCGAGAACGAAGTCGTTCCGCATAAAGAGTTAAATTGCAACTCAATTGGCTCGGTTGGCGTTTCTGTGTTTCTAGGTCTTCCTCGAGTAAGTTCTTGAATATAATTCGTCTCGCATCGATCGTCGTCGAACCAATATATTTCGTTGAATTATACATCGACTATTATCCCGCTATTTAATCATCATATTCGATTAAATTGCTAGTTAAAATATGGAAATTATAATAGAAAGAAAAGTCGTTCAATCGTTACCAACGAAACGTGCGATATTTTTGTTGCAGCCGGAGACAGTTCCTCAAGCGAGGATCGATATGACTCGTGTGTTGGAAGTTGCTGCTGCCGAGGATATCACCGGACATCCGTACAGCCTGGCGATCACCTCTCCGGAAGGAGTTACCTTCGTGAAGGGCACGTGCCGCGAGGAAACCAGATGGTGGGCCGATGTGCTTCAGGTCTACTCGAGGAACAAGGTCTGTACATTAAATTCGAAATTAACTAGAAAAATTTAGCATTAGCATTTCTTCTTTCATTCTCTTCTCGTAGTGAAAGCTTTGAAATTAACAGATTATTTGTATTAATCTTGTATAATAATTTTTCAATCAGGATGAACAGGATGATTCAAGATATTTTAAATTTATTTATAAAAAATTTTATTAGTATCATTAATTAGTCGAATTTAACTAATAATCAGATTTAAATTTAATTACAAAATCTCGTTTCACTCCCATTAAAATTTATCACTCTCTCTTTCATGCAAAAGAGAATTTATTACCATTGTCAACTTAAATTAATTCCGCTAATAGTATCAATTATGGGAAAGAAATACTTTAATCGTCGGTGTCAAGGTACAATTAGAATCAATCAAAGAAGATTCTCCTTGCAGATACGTTCCAATTATGCATACACCGATCGAAATGTTAAAGCACAAAAAAGGATCTTTGTTAAGCGATTCTGTTTACGAAAATATTTCGAATTAAATCTCGATTCCTTCGAATCGCAAAAAAGAGGGTGCGAATTTATACGATTCTGATTGATCCAATTCGAAGAAAGAAGGTGACTGAAGGATCCCTGTCATTCGTTGATTACGATATTCGCATAATCATTACTATATCCTTGTGCTGTCACGGTTGTTACAGTAATACCAGTCGCGTCGACTTGTCTCACCAGCGGAAATAGCTATTCTCGCGGGAAATGAATCGCGACTACGCGGCCGCCCTCGGATTTTCCAACCTTCTGCCTACGCGAATTCCATTATTTCATTTTTTTTTTTCTTTTCATTTTCTCGATGAAAATTAACGTTCGAATCCTTCGAGGTCGATAAATCTTTGATAAAATCAGTCCATTGGAAATCTTTTTTTATTGGCGAGAGTTTCATTGACGAGAGCGAGTCAACTTTTTTTTTTTTTTTTACCATTCAATTGAAATTTATTATTATGGATATTATTGGTGCGTGAAATGTCGTTATTTTTTAAAATATAATTTTAATGATACGTAATTTATCTTGGATATATCATACGATAAAGAAACGTATTCGTATTTTTTATATGGTTTTTTTATTTCGTTAGTATATTTCGTATATTAAATAAGAATTCATTTTCTTTGTTTAAAATTCTTCTCGATTATCCTCATTTAAATTTAGGTTTTTCTGTTTGCAGCATTGTTTGCAGTATAAACTTACTGTAGATTTATGGTCTTTGCTTATATCTGTATAAATTGGCAATTTAAAAGTGAGCGTAAAACGATTTGGTCTTGTCGAAGGGTTAATCGTCAAGCTTTTTCTCATCGCAAACTGCTTTACAAATTAATGCGTTGTCACTAAATCCAGGTTGTTTCATTCCTCTCGAATAATCGAATATTCAAATCTTATCATCGATTTAATGGATGCTCTTCTTTGCTGAAAACTGAATCACACGGTGAATTGTCAGATATTCCCTGGATAACTAGCCGTCTAATTGCAGACCCATTCCAGTACCAGTACCTGTACAACGATACTTTTCCTACCTTCATCCTACTATATCTTAACTCCATGTTTATTCCTACCATTACAAATTCTTATCTATAAAATCATCTGATAGAACTCGAATACTCCAATTATCCACTAGAATTTATTACTATGTACCTTCCAATCAACCTGCCTTACCGACAGCAGATACAATTTCAACCGCTATCCTTTTTTTCGCGCCAAATACAAAAAAATAAAAAAATAAAAATTAATAAATAAAAGAATGTCTCTTTCTTTCTTCCCTAAGAAAACACGTGATCGTATCACTGTACAACCATGAAAATTCTCACGAGACGAGTATAGTAGAACTCCATTTATACGATCCTGTCGGGGGATAAACAGATGCATGTAACTA